GCATATATATACAATGGAGTATTACTCGACAATCAAAAAGAATGAAATCTTGCCATTTACAACTACATGGATGGAACTGGAGGGTATTATGCTAAGCGAAATTAGAGAAAGACAAGTATCGTAGACTTCACTCATATGAGGACTTTAAGACACAGAACAGATGAACACAAGGGAAGGGAAGCAAAAATAATATAAAAAAAGGGAGGGGGACAAAACAGAAGAGACTCTTACATATAGAGAACAAACAGAGGGTTACTGGTAGGGTTGTGGGAGGGGGGATGGGCTAAATGGGTAAGGGGCATTAAGGAATCTACTCCTGAAATCATTGTCGCAGTATATGCTAACTAACTTGGATGTAAATTAAAATAAAACAAAGTAATAAATAAAAATAAATAAATAAATATTGAAAAAAATAACCAGGGAACTCTCTTACATGTTTAAATTTTTTTTTGGTAAAAAATAGGTCTATTTTAGCCAATTTACTAATTAAATGAGTAAAGTTTCAATTTGTATTTAAACATCTTTACAAGTGTTTACTAACTCTACTTCCTTTTTTTTTTGAACCTTCTCCATGCTTTTAGGGACAAACTTCCAAGATGAAGTTCAGAATAAATTCAGTTGCTTGCTTGCGACCCAAGTTATATTTTTAGGCTAGACCCTTTAATATACACACCACTGAGATACAACTTCTCTGTTGTAATGCCACTTTGTTTCAAGATGCATCGTTTATGATGGAATAATAGGTCTAATGTACTGATTTCCTACATCTCATTTTCTCAGAGTATCACTAATGGAGTTCTTGAAGAATTAAAGCATTATCTAAAAATAATCTTTAAACATTTGTATGATGATGTGTTTTCCAAAGATAACAGAACAATGAAAACAGAAAAAAAATTAACCTTTACTGAAAAAAGATCTAAATTCATATTAAGGGAGTTTATACAGTATCAGTTTTTATGACCTATGCTTATAGTCTGAAATTTTTACACTGCTAAGATAAAGAAATTCTACAACTATCAAGTCAGGGAAAAATCACACACAAAACAAGTTAGCTGTGGTGAACATCACAGACATTCACCAAATACTTCTAGCAATCCCTTCTAGGCATCTAGGAGAAATCCACTTCTTCGCTCTCTTGAAATTAGGTATGAGCATGTGACACTCTGGCCAGGCAAGTGTGAGGAGATGCAGTCTGTATCACCTCTGGGTAGGAACTGTAACAAGAATATGTGTCTGTGTTTCATCATTCTCCCTTTTCCTACATCAGCGCTTGCACTTTTATGTTTTGGAGGTGTTGCTTTCCTTAAACCTCATGAACCAACTTCTGCTAGCTTCAAACTTTTCTTCTGCAGCTTCCTCACCTCTCTCAGCCTTTGAACAACTGAACAGAATTAGGGCCTTGTTCTGGATTAGGCTTTGGCTTAAGGGAATGTGTAGGCCACTAAAACTTTCTCCATATCAGCAATAGGGCTATTTCACTTTCTCACTACTGGTGTGTTTACTGGAGTAGCACTTTTAATTTCCTTTAAGAACTTTTCCTTTGTATTCACTGCTTGACTAGTGTAAGAGGCCTAGCCTAGCTTTCAGCTTATCTTGGTTCTGACATGCCTTCTTCACTAAATTCAATCATTTCTACCTTTTGATTTAAAGTGTTTTGATTTAAAATGTGTGACTCTCCCCTTCACTTAAACACCTAGAGGCCACTGTAGTGTTATTAATTGCCTAATGTCAATATTGTTGTATCTTAGGGAATAGGAAGGCCCAAGGAGAGGGACAGAGATGGGGGAGTGGCCACTGGGTGGAGCAGTCAGAACAAACACATCAATCCATTAAGTTTGCCATCTTATATGCACATGGTTCCTGAAACCTCAAAACAATTATAATAGTAACATCAAAGATCACTGTTTCCACATCACCATGACACATATGATAATGAATATGTTTGAAATATTTTGAGAATTACCAAGATGGGACAGAGACACAAAATGACCACATGCTGTTGGAAAAACGGCACCTACATACTTGCTCAACAAAGGGTTGCCAAAAATCTTCAATTTGTAAAATACACGGTATATGCAAAGTGCAGCAGAGCAAAGTAAAATGAGGTATGCCTGTACAAACCAATAAAAATAGGATATTTTTTCCTCTTCCCTTTTCTTCTGGACTACAGACAAATGTTACTTTTTGCTGGCATAATAATCTATCATATGGATGGATGAACCAGCATTTATTAACTGGTATTCTCTTGATGGGCATTTATGTTGTTCCTGATCTTTCACTATCAATAATGTTGTTGCAATGAGTAAGTATATATACATCATTTAAAAAGTACAAATTCCTAGAATGCTGTTGCTGAGTCAAAGGGCATATGAATTCGTAATGTGGTTAGATACTGTCTTTTATTCTAGTTATGTAAATTTATACTACCAGTAGGAACATGTGTCTATTTTCCTATAAGTTCACAATTTTAGTGTTCTCAATTTTACAGGTTTTGTCATCCTGGTAGACAAAAGTGCTAATGCTTTAAATTTGTTACTTATAAGTAAGATTGAAGATGCTTATAAGTTTAAGACAGATTTGTATTTAATTTTCTGTGACCTTTCTGTGCATATCCTTTGCTCAGTGTTTCTATTGTTAATATTATTGTTAAGAATTTAAAATATTCTAATAGCT